AGTGGTCGATCGGCATGTACGCCGTTGGGATACATTGGTCTCCCGAGTGTCGGGGCATCCAACAAGCTGTTGGAAAGGACAGATTCTTCATATGTAGGTTTGAACAAAATCGATACCGGACCCACTTCAATCTCACCTGCTATATAGCCCACTTAAAGCCCGGATCTTTCCTCCAAACCAGAGCAACATCTATAGACTTATGCAAATCTGTAAACATGCCAAAGCCTATATACACCCATATACTTATAAATATATAGGTTATATAGTTCTACATATACCCATATAAGGTTACAACATTTCACAAACCCAGTAAACCCAATACTATCTTTCTCTGTAAGCCGATAAACTACCCTACCGGCCCCAAACCCTAGAAACCCTAAATAACCGGTGCTGCAGGACCACATTGCTCATCTTGCTCTGCACCGCGGTGAATTGCACCTGGACCGTCGAGCAACCGGCTGGATCGACTTTGGAGTATTACCCCTGCTTTCGGGCCATGATGAGGAGTGTTTTCAGTGCTGGTGGACCATATGCGGCCCAACCCTTAGAGTTGTCGATCGTTCTGAGCAATGTATATATGCATGGGAATTTACTTGTCTGTTTCTGTGTACTGTTGCTAGTTAAGGTGACTCGAGTTTCGTTCTGGATGGCTCACTTTCTCAGCAAGACACCGAAGAGGCAATACATGTATTCCAACAGCTCCAAGGTTGGGATACTCAACAAAGGCCGCTTGATGATGGGTCGATTTGGGGTTCGGTCGAACACCACGAAAAGGACTCGGGTTCATGGTGGCAAGGAGAAGTATACTGGAACCCGGTTTCTGGAAGACACGGGGATCCTTATCTTGATTTTCAGTAAGCAACCACGTATGTAATGTGTAATCGTCATAGAAATATTTCGAGCCAGGTATTAGGGAGTAGCCCCGAGGCCCGATTACCCCGACTTGAAAGCCAGTTTAGCCAGCCCTGTCGCAAGCATAACAATGCCAACTCGAGCCCTGAATCCTTTTAATCCCGGCCGACAACAACAAACTTAAGAACCCTAAGAACCTAACATCCCCTGTCTTTCCGAGGAAGTATCCAGCCGCCTTCTGTGCCGAGCTCGTGAGGATCAGCCAGGATCTGAAGGCCCACCGCAAAGGATGTCCTCAAGAGCCGGAGAATATTCCGTCGGGCCCGGAACAGCTCTCTGTTCTGATGACAGGTGAGGATGACAATTTTCAGTTTGCAGATCTTCCGGATGTGTACAGGTACTTGAGGGGAGGGCGGAAGCTCAGGCTGCCAGAGATGTGGCGGGCCGTCATACCAGCAAGCCTTTAGAGTCCTCAGTGCAAACCGATTTAGAATACCTGGGCCAGTGTAGTTTGGGGTTTATAGGGTTATGGGTCATATTGTTATCTAGGATGCACTTTGGATCCTGTTCGGAATGTACTTTGGCCTGCGGGATTTTGGGTTTTAGGTGGGATGGAGGGCCTGGTTGTTTAACGCTTTTGTAGGCTTTTTGTTTTTTTTGGGCGCTTTTTCGTGGTTTTACAACTATTATCTTACGGGGTACTTAGAGGGGAGCTCTAACCCGTGATTTAACCCGTGACCTGGCTAGCTAAACCCGGGTTCTGATACCACAAACCCCGGTTCTGCCTATCTCCTGGGACCCCTGAACCCGTGATTTGGCCTAGCAAACCTGGGGTTTGAGCAAACCCGGGGTTTGGCCCAACCCGTGACCTACCCGTGCCCTAAGCGTGCCAGACCCGTCCCCAAGCCGTGACCGCGTCATGGGTAAACCCCGGGTTTAGGGTGTACGGTTTCTAACACAAATCAACATATTTTGGTAGCTTTTGGCCAGAGTTTTTCACGGGCTTCTGCGGGGTTTTAATTCGCAATTCGTTGTGGCTGCTGGAATTGCCCGCAGCACAATAAGCAAACTTCCGAAAAGCTTGCAAATGCTGCCGTCCAAGCTGCATATATATTTTGTGCATCTGATCCAGTTACGGCAGAACAGATTGATGCAGCTTGATGCACACCTGCTTGTCCATTGCTGAGGCTTTAAGTTCTTGATCTTTGGTTAGGGGTGCTGGGATAGTGATGACGAAGGGCCCAGTGTCGAAGCTATGGAGCTGTTCGACGCTTGAGGATGGTGTTGCACATGTCGAAAGTGCATCGTCGGAACTTACTGTGGAGCAGATGCTGCTAGAGATGCAGGACTGGACCTTTGTGTTGTATATCAAGCACGCATCATGCGCACGCAGTATCTTTTGAGTGCAGTCTGAGATCTCAACCCAGGACTTAGAGCTACAGCTCCAAGAGGATAAGGCCAGGGCCCCGCATGCAACACACACACACATGCTCGGATGCCTTTGCAAAAACTGTGCCTCAGAAACAAGACCTCATTCTGCCTTCGCCAAGGCATCCTCGTATCTGCAGCTGCAGCAGATGGCAGATGACGATGATGCACCGGAAACGCTGCCGGTGAGATTCCTGGGCTGATTGTTGACTGGTGCTGCTTTTCGCTAAAGTACAAAGTCTTGTGCAAACACATATATCCTGTAATGGAGGCTTCGGTTGATGAGCTTCTGCAAGCTGGCTTGGGTTCGGGCCTTGATACCCTTGTGGATTCCGACAATCCTCAGAAGAACATTGCCCCCGCGACCGCTGGACCCGAAGTCTCTGAAGAACCTGGTCCTTCTCCTTGCAAGAATGATGCCTATACAGTAGTGGATGTGGAAGCCTTCGAGGAGGCGATGTGTTTGTATTCGCAATCCATATAGAGCTCTCTCTTGTAGTGGGGACACCAGCTATCTTGTTTGCACCTGGGAGGCTGACGATGCAGAATGTGATGCGGAGCTGGAGAAGGCTGCTCTTACGGAATGGGTTTCGGGGTTTATCCTTTGATCGGTTTGGGCTTTGGGGGTCTTTCTACTTAACCCTGTCTATATAGACCCTTAAGTCCTGCAACCCTCTCAGCTATATATGTATGTATATATATATATATATATATATGAGCCCTGTGTACATCGCCTGTACATATATATATATATGTATATGGAGTCATATAGATGTATCAATAATTTAAAATAGGTGTATACTGTGTCGCTTCTTCTTCTTTTCCCACTATATATTATGGTACTCGACATTTATGGGATGCTTGCAGGCCTCGGCTATGGACATGTACCTCGCCCTCACCGGCTTGCTGTCTGATGATGACAAGTCAGAAGAAGCAGGGGAGGATGGAACGATCAAGACAGAGCCGGATGAGGCCGGCAAGAAGGTTCGGGTTATCAGCCGGCAAGAGCCTTGACTTTTAGCTCTTTCAACAATCGATGTCATCACGAAACATATAAATGTGTAGCCTGATGTTCCGAGGAGCGCTTACTCCGGGCCGCCAAGGCCAGAATAGCCCGTATGGTCAAGGAGAAAAGTCGCAGAAAGGATCTTCAGGTACCTGCTTTCGTAAGAGAGCAATGGGAGAGCGGCAAGCGCACGGAAATGGCGCAGCTGCTTCAGCGAGTTAACTTCGACAAGGTAGCTCTCATGCAGGATCTAGAAAGGATTAAAGGGTTTATAGGGGTTTTCGGGTTCAGGGTTTCAATACCGACCAAGCAAAGGTTTACTGCTTTTTTGGGGGTTCAAGGTTTCGCACCATACCGACCAATCATAAATCCACAAGGCTCCGAAGCTTCCTCTCAGTTCAAACAATGCAAAGCCCTGGGGCCCACGAGCAATCATCCGAGAATCAGCACCACAAACCAGTTTAAAGGACCCCCTATATATATATATATATAGTCCCTATAAACACCATTTGGCCCAAAACATGCTCCTGCATTAAAATGATTGCATGCCAAGATCACTTCCAATGCCCCGTCGCTGCCGAGGCACAGTTCGTGGCCACCTTGCAGATCGAGATCAAAAAGCAGAACAAGGTTCAGCTTCAAGTGGAAGAAGGCTGGTACTCACGAGATGAGATGGTGAACGAGTTGGGCTGGTCGGAGATTCTTGTATTCGTTAGTTTCAAGCTAGGCACAGACAGTATCCCACGGCTAGGACCAATGTTCCTAACATGCTGTCTGCATCAAGGAAGAAAGCGGATGGTGCTGTTGCGGCTTGTAGGGCCAAGGGTGCCTCGCATGTGAGGCTCGGGTCCTTACCATATATGCAAGCTAGCAGGGCATCGATCTTTCAGAATATTTCCCGGAAGGTTGAATGCCTACGATGGGCAGGAGGAGTTCTGGGTCACAGTCCGTGAATCCGGAAAACGGAAGCACACGCACTCCTACGAAGAGTCGCACAAGAAGATCAAGGAGGTTTCGGTGAATCGTGACTTTCTGTCAGCAGAGAGAGAGCCAGAGAGAGAGAGAGAGAGAGAGAAAGAGAGAGATGCAGAGAGAGAGTGCGAGGTAGTGAAAGTGAGAGAGGGAGAGAGATAAATGGACGGGCTATATATATATATATATACATATTCATATGCATATATATATATATATATTTATTTAATTTGACAAACCTGTACATATATATATATATGTTTATATATGAATAAATACACATGTATACACATCATACAGAGAGAGGGAGAGAGGCAGAGAGAGGGATACAGAAGATCCATAAATACGGTAAATAAAGAAGAGAGGGAGGGAGTGTGATAAACAGACCCGTGCACAAACAATCCCATACCAGTTCCTCCTATATAAACTCTATAAACCCTTAAAGCCCTATATAGACCGCCACGGAACCTCGTGGCCAGGTTGAGGATGTGCCCGAGGTGCCAAAGGGCCTCGAGAGTTTCAAGGCTCTCGAAGATTTGAGTGCTCGTATGGAGCCGGTTGCAGCCACCCCGGCCCCTGCCGTGGACCACTCCGCACACAAGTGGAGCCAGGCTGGCTTATGGTGTTGTAAGGTTTGTTATGAAAGTATATATAGTTATAAGGCTAGAATAATTGCTAGAGGAAGGTTCCTGAGATTGCTCAATTTCTGCACGCTCAGACCAAAGCAACCCTGGAGAAGCAAATGGAATCCACCATGACAAAGATCTCGAAGCTTCGAGCCCTCATTCGTGAGTTGCAGAAAAAATACAAGAAGGATGCCGAAACCACGAAGACGCGAGCCTGAAAATATGTTGGATAACCACCCTCTAAGACCCGAAGTCCTATAGTCCCTCTTGCCAATATTCCCTCCTAGACGAATCCTGCAGCCCAGGTGCACAAGTGGCTTGGAAACCCAGATCAAAGACATGGAGACCCAGTATGACAAGTGCTGCGACGAGAAGGCCAAGGCTGATTCTCAGGGCATGAGTGAGGAGCTGCTTGCCTTGTATGTATTTATGCACTGAGCAATGGTTAGCAGCTTTGCAAAAACACAAACCCAGTCCCACTAATTAAGGATCTACAAGTCCATGGAAGCTCGCATCAAGGAGGTGACTGTTGTGTCTTCGTCTCAGATCAACCCGGTGCCATACGACCCCTTTACATAGTTAACCTCTCCGGCCCAGGTGCTCCCGAGCATCAGCGACCGAGATGAAGATCAGGAGCAGCATGCAGCAGCAGCGCCAAACTTCCTGAGACATGTATTGCTGGGCTATTCGGGTTCTGCTAAAGTTGCCAATGTGTCGTGGCTGTTTCTGTTGGGTCGAATGTTCTGCCCTTCAAACAATCCCGTTCGTAGGACCGCCAAGAAGTTCTACGACAAGAACGAGGTGAGTTCCGAGCAACCCAAGGGAAGGCCCGCGCCAAAGGCAACGACTGAGGGTCCGAAGCCCAAGGTTAAAGCCTCAGCCAAGAAAGGAATGAAGCCCAAAACCGGCTAGTGTTCCGCTGTTTCCTGGGAGATTGCTAGATGGTGCGGGCAGAACCTGCATCGTTGGAGCATCCGCCCTGAAGCTGATTTGTGGCAAATGGCCGCAAATGTGTGCACTCCTAATTACTGGGGTCTTTCAACCGTGCTGCTTATCTGGCTGGGGGTCTGCAAAAGAACCCAATCATTGCTTGTTACTCTGAAGCCCGAGAAACCCCTAGAAAGCCACAAGCTATGTGCAATGCCAGGTTCTACCCCAAGCCGACTCGTTCGTGGACTCAGCCACGACATTGGCGAGGGCGCCGGAAGCTCAAAGAATTGGAGAGGCTCTAGATAGATCGAGGGCGATGAGCATTATCTTCGCTCATGGTTGTGTGTCTGCATCAAGTTATGTTTGGGATCAAGCTTGGGCAATGATTATGCAGCTTCCCTCCCTATGTCACCATGGAAACTCCTAGCTCAGCTGCACCTGCCTGTGAAAGCCCGGACGAAGAGCTCTACGATCTTTTGACATGTCATCGCGACGATGCCTGCTACTTCTTCATTTCAGCGTGATGGTATTGTCTAAGACTGTTTTGATTTGTATGCATAAAGTCTCTATATACACGGAGATATATATAGTCTATACAACCGAAAACCTATCTCTATATACACATATATTGTGTCTATCGACTCTATATTTCTTCCTTTGTCTTCTTTGTAAATACATGTTCTAATTTGGGTGTGTGTGTGTGCTGCCAAACATGCAAGGAACGTTTGGCTCCGTTTCCCTGGGCCAAAGTACTTGACTGCGATCGTGTGACCAAACCGCATGCCAAGCCTGCACCTGACGACGCCCCGGAGTGCCCCGAGAAGCCAGAGTTCAGAACGAACATCAAGAGCATCGGCATCCCCATGAGCAAATCCAAGAACCTGCTTTCCCATTTGGAAATGTCACCTGCTCTGTGCCGCATGTATAACGAATGCAACGAAATGGGGTGCATCATCTTCAATGTTCCTTCTCGGAATGCACTGGCCGGAAGAGTGGTGCAGCATTGTATGAAGGAGATAGACATCATCCTTGCAGTGCAAAAGCCGTTGATATTCAAACTGGGCTTCACCCATAACCCAGTGTGGCGATGGGCCAACCGAGTGTATGGATACGGCAAGGCAAAAGAGAAGTGGAGTCACATGATGATCCTTTATATATCAGAAGAACATTTCGGTCCAGCGATGCTAGAAGCGGCCCTCATTGACAAATACAGTAGCTACTTGGTTTGCAACACACGAAGCTTTTATAGATAGCTAAATAAACTCATCAAGTATGGTTTCGTCTTGGTTCAAGGTACGACCGGATGCCGAAACATCAATCGTGGTGGTGACAATGTGCAGAGCAAAGACATACCAGATAGTCACTATATGACATACATCGTGTACAGATCCTTCACGTTTCCGCCACCCGTACAGAAACAATAGTTTTCATGTGTGGCCCAAGTTTCACTCGAAATTTCCACCAAGGCTCCGGGGCTCGAGCAAAATGATTTGCTTTGCGATTTTCTGCATTCGGGTGCCTGCACTTCTGCGAAAGCATTCTCCTCGATTGAAATGTTAAGTTTGGAACCCAAACTTCGTTTGCCGAGGCCACATGCAGATCTGCGATTCGGACGGCCCGCAACCTGGTTTCGGACCTGGGGGACAAGGCTGGCTCGGTGGCAGGCCTTCGAGAGTTAGCAAGCTGCTCAGAGACTCATTCGGAGAGAGATGCGAACCGACTTCTCACTGGCAAGCTTAAGCTGGCCCTGCCGATACCAATCAGCAAGGTTCCTGGTGATGAATTTTCAGAGGGAGAAGGGCTGCCGATGTTTCGTTTGCGGGATTGGCTAGCCTATATTCTGAAGATAAATGCCTGGCACCATTTGTGTGGGCTGAATGCACCAAACCCCAAGCGGGAGCAGGCGATTTGGGGAGCTTTCTGGGAGAAGTACCGTGCTTTGGACCCAGGGCACACAGTCTTCCAAAAGGCTAGGGAAGGAGCTGTGCAGCTGGAAAGATGCGCAGCAATGCTGCTTCATGGAGATGAAGGCCGTGGCAGGAGGAGGCAAGCATTCTTGGTTTTATCTTATCACTCTTGTTTGGGGAAAGGCACAGCAGCAGCAGAACGAGCACGCAAGGCCAAGAAAGTCAAAAAGCCGTACTTGAAGATGGCAACAAACTTCGGGGGACATACATACACGACACGTTTTTTGGCCGCTGCCATGACGCGAAAGATGTACAATGACAACGATCATTTCTTTGACGGCCTGATGACCTCGATTGCTGATGAAGCTGCGCACCTTGCAAACTGTGGTGTTGAAGACCGGTATGGGCAGAAGCACTGGGTCATTGTGCTTCGCACAATTGGAGATTGGCCTTGGTTGCATCGTGCTGCCAAGCTCAACCGCACGTATGCTAACGTGGTGAAGCGCCTTGACCAAACCCCGGGCGGGATATGTCACTTGTGCGATGCTGGCACCGATGCTTATCCCTTCGAGCAAATCGGGACGCGCCGACCCAGATGGCTGAGCACTATGTATCAGACATGTCCTTTCGACGAGGTTCCATTTATGGCTCGGGTGCCACACAACCCTGCACGACTTGCGGCACACTATGCATTCGACGTTTTTCATACAGTTCAACTCGGCATTGGACGGTATTTGACGGGGACGATGCTTGCACTGTGGTCTGACCGTGAAGCCGGCAACATCGAGGAAAGATTTGATTCCATCACCACCAAATACAGAGCTTTTTGCAAAGCAAGCGGGCGAGCGATGTTTGTTTCAAAACTGACAAAAGATACGATTCAGTGGACTAGCACCACGGAGTATCCAGCTGCTGGCTGGTACAAAGGCCAGCTTACAACCAACGTCATGGAGTTTCTACAGCATTTGGGGGAGTCTATCGACATGAATGGTGATGATGTGGACCTTTTGTTGTCAATGGGAACAGAAGCTGTTGTGTCGCTGAACAGTTTCATGCGATTGCTCTACGAATCAGCTGTGTGGATCCCCCCTGCTGATGCTGGTCGTGCTGGCGATCTCGCTGCTAAATTTCTGAGGCGTTACAATGACTGCGCCGTTCGAGCGAGGAGTTTGCAGAGAACGCTGTTTCCCATCCAGCCTAAGTTTCATTGTTTACAACACATGGCCATAGAGCTTTTGTCTGCAAGCAAAGCAAATCTTCATGCGTTAAGCCCATTGGTGCTGTCAACGCAGCAAAGCGAAGACTTTATAGGCAGGCCTTCGCGCCTGAGTCGCAGGGTTTCTTCGAGAGGAACTGTCACCCGTGTGATGCAGCGCTACCTTCAGTCGTGCCACAGTCATTGGGTGAAGGCCGGTTTGCTGATCGAAGGCGCAAGCTGATGAGAAAACTCTGTGGGAGCATCCGAGCGATCCTTTGTATTGCAGAGCATCAGTAAGTAACAAAGATTCGCACCGATTGTACATCATCCGAGCATCAGAAGATCATTCAACACACAACAGCAGCATGACAAAGCATATCCCAATGTCACCTCAAACCTCGGGTTTTCTGCAAACCTCGGTTCTAAATCTCAGAACCCGTGTCTTGACCCAGACCCTACTTTTTTAGCGGGTCCAGGTTCTTAAGGTAGGACATGTGGTGTTACAGATTCGAGTCTGAAACCAGCCCGCGACATGTCACTCCGCTGCACGCTTGCCGTCTGTGCTGTCCTGGCATGTCTCGGTGGTTACGGCCCCGGTTAGGCTGAGGACCCTCGAAGGGACCCTTATTTTGAGAACTATCCGTATGACACCTACTAGTATAGGATCCTTAAATCGGTGGTTCAAGCGGCTTACTCGGCTGAAATATTCCCTTCCTGGATCCCCTTTCCTTGCTTTCCTTAACCTGGATCCCATGATATATCTCGCTGCGAAACCGCACGAACCAATCGCAATAGAACCTTTTCGAAACCCCGGAGTACCCTAAGACACCCCAGAGCACACTTTAGCACCACCAGAAAAAAGCTTCAAAACAAGCGCCTGCTCCGTCATCTCGCGGAAGAAATCTGCGCAGGTGAGCTTACAGGGCCCGTCGGCCAAGCTAAGTGCATCGGCCGCCTGCGTCAGAGCTTGTAGGTATGTGTTTATGCGTTAGTGTTACAAGGTATAGGATTGAGATGAGGTTTGAGGGCATAGGCTCTTGTACCTCTCAATCGCTTTCAAAAGCTGGAATAGCCCAACCCAAAGTCCCAACCCCCCGACGTCCCAAGCCCTGAAGTGCCGAAATCCAACACCTCAAGACCAGAAAGCGCCTAGACCGCCCTCATACCTGTGAGAACCCTTCAAGCCCTTCCGAATACCAAAGCCCTTATCCCTGAACCCTAAACCCTAAGCCCTAAACCCTAATTCCTAAACCGTAAACCCTAATCCCTATACCCTAAACCCGAATCCCTAAACCCTAACCCCTAAACCCTCAACCCTAAACCCTCAACCCTAAACCCTCCCCAAGCCGCCTGCAGCATCGCCGCGCTACAGAGCGAAGCCCAAGAAGAGTTCGGCTCCGAGTCAGGGCAGAGGAGCGAAAACCTAAGAGATCTATTGGGTACGGCCCCCACTCAGTAATAGTTGAGTAATATTCGTAATATAGATAGCCCTATTATATTTTAGACTCTTACTGTATGGGGGCCGTACCTACCAGGTGATTCGTTGTTTTTTGTGCTTGTTATAAGGGCTCCTTTTTGGGTTTAGGGTTTACGTAGGGTTGGTTTGAAAGACTGGCTTTTGAAGATTTTGTGCGAAGAAGCTGAAGGATTTTGGCATGCAGAGTTTGGGGTGGTGGCAATTAGAGCAACAAAGCGCTTTGGCTTTTCCGTTGGGCTTGGGGCTTTTCCCCGTTTGGAGAATTTTCGCCAGTAGGCCTTTTTGATTCTTCCGCTTGTTCTCTACGAGCTCGTCATGTGAGGTCTGGGTTGAGATTCATCATAAAGTTCGATATCTGGGGCTTGAGATCGGGAGGTTAGGATCATCAAAACCCGAACCGCAATCTCACAACTTTGAACTCCCAAACTGAAAGAACCTCAATTGAAATCCTAAAACTCTGTGCAAGCGCCAATCGAAACCCGAAAACAACTCGGTACACAGTATTCCGTTTCGCCGAGTTCATCTTGGATCCAAAGGCCATTGCTAAGTTGATCGGTGCCCGCCCAGCCCAAGAAGAAGTTTCCCCAGGGGCACTGCAACACTTTAGGGTTGACCTTAAGCCGGAATAACCTACCTTTTTAAGGACGTGTATAAGGAGGTCATAAAAAGGAACCACCAAAAAGGTAGGTTATTCAGGGTTAAGGTAGGGTCTTAGGGCTTCGGGCTTCGAGTTTTACGGGTTTAGGGTTAAATGTCGTGTGCACCGACTCCAGGGTTTTAGGTGCGGGCTTGGGGTTGAGGGGTTGGGGGTTGAGGGTTGAGGGTTTAGGGTTTAGGGTTTAGGGTTTAGGGTTGAGGGTTTAGGGTTTATAGGGTTGAGGGTATAGGGTTTTGGGGCTTGAAGTTTTTCTCATAAACGGTGGTTAAAGCTACATTGGGTCTTACAGCACTAGGGACTGTACACAGAAATGCCACCCGAAACTTCAAAGACGAAAATCCGCCGAAGCCCGGACCCAAAGATCTCCCAAACCCTCAAATGAGAGTTTCCCAGAATAGGGGACCCTAATATAGTACTGTACCCTAAATAGTATGATCCTGATTTTAAGGACCCCAAACTATTCGGAAACTCTAAACCCTAAACCCGTTATAGAACCCTGAGAGCCCTTTAAAGGAACCCTAAAAGATACCTTTAAAGGTACCCCTACTTTTCGGAAACTCCCCAATTCGCGGCACAGAAACGCCACCAGCTGCAGTTGGAGATCTTTCTGCACTCTCCTGGGCTTTGAGAGGGACATACCTAAATCATATTAAAAATCCTACTATAATTTAAGGCATATTCCTTAATTAAGGGATATTGGAACCCCCTAAACCCTAAACTCTCTAGATCCCTTATAGACCCCTTAAAAGGAACCCTAACCCTAGGTATTCCTTAATTAAGGGATATTGGAGTCTCTGGGTAACCTTTCTGGGGGTACTTTAAGGCCTCTGGGCTTCGTTTAAAGGGTTACTATAAGGGTTCCTTTAAAGGGTTACGATAAGGGTTCCTTTACAGTAGAAGCCAGAAAGTTGGAATATGATTATCCTAAACCCTTTATGGTAAATTATAGGGTATCCTACCCTGAAACCATATTCCAACTTTCTGGAGTTCCCTTTACAGGGTTACTGTAAGGGTACTATAAGGGTTCGTCATGAGCTTTGAAGTAACCAGGGTTTATTTAGGATTTAGGGTGTGGGTTTAGGGAATGGTTCCCTTAAAGTAACTCCCAAAAAAGTGTTAAAGTATGGTACTCCAAAGCCAAGCCTCTCTTTCTGCACATCCTCAAGGAACTCCGTATGGTCACCTTGTGTAGAGAGGCTTAATGACATTTCGCAGGGCTTGCTGGCTTGCTGGGGGTTTTGAAAGCGGGTATTATAGAGGGTCATACAGGATTCTACGGCTGTAAAGGGATGTCACCACCGTAGAGGATTCTTATGCATGTAGCAAGACGGATTCACTGAAGTCCCTTGAAGCCAGGGACCCATATAAACGCTGAATCATTGCATGCCTGCTTGTGCTCGAAACTCCCTGCCAAAAGGTCCTCTAACTTTCCGAAACTCCCATAATGAATAGGACTTGGGTCCCGGGTGTATTTTAATACTGTGAACAATGAACCCTGAGGAATAGTCTTGACAAGTATGCCGGCTTCTACATGCATTAAGCACTTATAGTACTAAATATATTCACAACCCTTACAGCAACAAACCCTGCCCTAAACTTTAAGCCGCAATGAGGCACAGTCGGAGATCAGCACCACTGTGACGCCACTAGGCAGAGCAAGCCAAAAGTCGCGCAACCTTGCCCAGGGTGCGAGAGATTGGGGCTCAGTATCTAGGGACTTCGATTGCACTGGGGTTGTCACGTATATTGCAATACACCAACGCACTATATAGTATGGTTCGGGTGTAGAGGTAGATGGAGCGGAATCTAGAGGCAGCTCGCATTGGGTGATAAAAGCATCTTTCGTCAGTGTAGAAATAACTTTCGCTGCAGTAACTACTATCCTAATCGCAATGTGGGCCAAGCACTGATTTGTCAGATGCTTTGGACCTGCGATACTCACCAGAACAAGATGCTGGGGTATGTTCAACTGTTCTACTACACCTGCAATTAATCAAGAAGCCTAAAGACTCGCATCGATAGTTCAGGTCCCTAAAGGAGAGTGCCCAAAGGTTCTTGGGTCGTGATAAGTAAATGCATAAGTGCCCTGAGGGCTATCAGGGCCAGGAGTAGGTTTACCATTGAGGCATTTAGGATACTTGTAAGGATGAATGTAAATACCGCAAATACCCAGAGAGCCCAATACCCCTTAATTAAGGAATATACGTTAAACTATAAGGGGATTCATATTTTGGTTTAAGCTATATTCCTTAATTAAGGGGTTTTGGGCTCTCTGGGTAGATAGGCTCCCGGAACTGTACGTAGAAATTGAAGCCCGCAAAACCCCAAAGCCTAGAACCTGCAGCCTTGGGACCGAAAGGCCTGAACCTCAAGAGCCTGAACCCTACTCACCCTAGACCCTTAGCGCTAGTTGCGTTTGGGGTGCGTGGGAATGTCTCCGCTGCGTTTGGGGTGCGTGGGAATTTTGGCGCACTTTTAGAACTTCTAGAACTTCTAGAACTTTTAGAACTTCTAGAACTTTTACAACTTTTAGAACTTAAAAAACCTTTGGAACTTTTAGAACTTTGTTTACATACACATATGTGCATGTATGTATGTATGTATGTATGTATGTATAGATATACATACATGTACACATACAAACACTTACAATATAAATATACATAAACAAAAAAGACACAAACACATACATGTACATATCACTACGTATATATCTGGACATACACACACATATGTGTATATGTACAGGTGTGTGTATATATTTACATAGATATATACATACATCGACATGAAATATGTATTGTATGTCTGTAGACATATGTGGGGGGGCTTCGGGCGTGTTTGGTGCAGCCTTGCTTCCTGAAAGGTGTTTGCTCTGATGATGTCTGTGTATGGTTCCGCAGTTTGAACCCTTCTGGAAGTCTTTGAACTTTTAGAACTTTTAGAACTTCCTTTTAGAATTTTTAGAACCCCTGGAACTTTTTAGAACTTTGTTTACATACACATATGTGCATGTATGTATGTATGTATGTATAGATATACATACATGTACACATACACACACTTACAATATAAATATACATAAACAAAAAGACAGAAACACATA